CATCGAGTCATCACACTTCTAAAAAACTCAACCCTTTCATATAAAGACCACCTTATCGCGTTTTCATCAATAATTTTGTGAGTAAAAAAGAAGTACTTTATTTCATCGTCTGTTATGAGTTCTTCGACTCCAATTATCCCGTTTTGGCCAACAACTTTGAACAGTTTAAGGTCGATTGAAGACCACCCAGTTGTCTTCTGGGTTTCAAAATACTTTGCTATTCCCGTGTTAATCTCGTTTCTTTTGATTTTACTATAAACCATACCCATTTTGTCTGAGAGGAAAAAGACGCGTTTTTCTTCGTTTTGTAGTGACGTGTCGTTTTTTTCATTTTTTGATATTTCGATGTTTTCTTTTATTTTTGTCATTGTTTTTTGAATTTGATTTTTGTGTGTGTTGACTGTTGACTTGTTAATTTTTGAGATCTGCAGATCTCTTGAAGTTTTTGTGATGTCGTTGTCATCGATTTCAGTTTCTGAAAAGTCTTCATTATGGTGTGAAATTAGAGAGGTGCAAACTATCGTAGAACCTTTTCTAAGAGATATTTTTTTCCCTGTTTTTTCGCATTGTCTGTCTTCTTTGAATTTTTGTGAATAACGCTTTTTATGTTTGACATTTTTTGAAGGGTTTTCACTTTTAGAAAGTTTTGGGTTTTGTGGCATTTTTAATAAGTTCTTTGTTGTGTCGCTTTTGGAAGAGATATTTGAGAGATAGTCCATTGAAGTCAAACAAGTTATTTCAGTTGGCAAGTAAACATCTTTGAATGGGTGTGCGATGTGGTGATGTTCCATTTTCAATTATAAGTTTCTAATTCAGTTTTCTAAAAATAAACCCTTAAAATATGCAACCAAATAAAAAGTAAATTGGATTATTTATCTAAAAATAAAACAAAATTAAATTTATTAAAAATATAGAAATGGGAATTTGGGTAGGTTTCGAAATATTTGTTTGTAAATTTAATGTTAATATATTATTAATACCTATATATTCTATTTATTATAAATTAATTCAATGATTTAATTATAAAGAGTTAAACCTTTTAATGGTGGATTTACAATTTAACAATCATATAATCAATTATATTTTTGATTGTTTTATATTTTCTTGATGAGAGTTTATATTCTGATTGATAAAAATCATCTTTTTCATGTATAGTTATCATTTTTAAAAGTGTTTATGAAAGGTTTTATTGTTATTTAACCATTGTATTCACAATAATTTAATTTTGATTATGATAAATGTAAAGAAGTTGTTGAGTAAAAATTATTGTTTTTTGTAAAAAAAAAATAGTTTATTTATATTTTAAAGATTGGAAGAGATTCCTTCGCATCATTGACATTATATTAAAAATATTTTATTTGCTTTTAGGCAAATAAAACTATTGTAAAAAAGTAAATTTTAAAAACAAATATTTTTTCCTCTAAAATTTTACATTTGAGTGGTGATTTATATAAATAACTTTTTCAAAATTCAATCAAAAAATATTTTGTATCCATAAAAACGATATCATAGTGAAAACAGTTTTTATAAAATGCTTTTTCTGGATGTTCGAATAATAAAACACAAACAATAACTATTATAAATGCAATAATTGACTACATGACAATTGATTTACAATTGAATGACACTTAGAGCTGTTTATTGAACATTCATGATATTACATTTAACGTATTCACAAACGTTCATTAAAAATATATAAGTGCTTTTTTCACCCCTTTTCACTTTTTGAGTACAATAAGAAATGTAATCGAAAATAATATTTTTGTTAAATTGGTGTATTTCTCTTGTATACAGACAACATTTGTATTAACATAAAATACAAACAATTGTATACATAATTATGAGTACCAAAGTTATGGTCACACAAACTTTTTATTAATATTTTTGATAACACAATAAATAAAAGTCGGTTGTTACAAAAAGAGACCAGTAATCACACAATTAGTAATATAAATTACGATTGAATGCCAATTAGTCGGTACTATTAAAAAACAACCTTTCAAAACAGTTCAAATCAAAATTATTAATAAAAATGACCTTTCTTATAATAAAAATAATAAATGCAACTGTATTTAGAACTCAATAATATTTTCCAAACCACATCGGAAACTCGCTTCAAAAATAGTGGTTTTGGTGTGTTGTGGAACAACACAAAAATAAGTTAAACTTGTGTCTGATTGGCTGTTTGTGAAAAGAAAACAACAGAAATTGTGAAATGTCAAATACTCCAACAACAAATGAAAATGTAAAGAAACTAAAAACGACTTGAGAGAGTTTCAATTGAAACGAAGGCAAAAGTTAAACTTTTACACTCTGCTGCAAGCTTCAACAACTTGTATGATGATGTCGAAGGAAAGTCTTTAAAAAACGAGAAAATAAGCAAACAACAGTGCCATTGTCATTAAAAACAATTCTAGAATAACAAAACATTACCAAAGAACTTGGAAATGTTGTAGAATATATTGTTGTTGATAAGAAGATATCAAAAACTATTGTAAACAGTTTTGAGGATGCAATTTTGATTAAGAATATTAAAGAATCAACAGAAAAGGCGAGAAATGAATTGAAATAAGATTAGTTGAAAAGCAATGAAATTAGAGTTGTTGATTTGTTGAACAACGATAAACAATATTTAATAAAAAGTTGTTCACTCAAATAGAGTTTACCCTTTTCTACTCATTAATTTGGACAAAAGTGGGCATTATTTATTTGTGGACTCGAAAAAATCAATATTTATGTTGCTGCACCTACATTTACTCTGTTGATTGCTTTCTAAAACGTATAACATTGATTGCAGCCATATTTGCCAACAACACCACATTGAAGCCAATTATAATATTATCAA